GTCGGGCGGGCCCCAAACTTCGGGGACCGCCGTGGCGGACGACGGCAAACATTTCGTTCTTCAGCGGCGTGCTTCGGTTCGGCCTGCGTCGCGCGTAAACGGCGGCCCAGTCAAGGCAGTGTGTCGGCGAGTCGTTGGTGCGGTTTGGCGAGCGATAGCAAGGGCGGCGAAGGTCGGGCGGGCCCCAAACTTCGGGGTCCGCCGTGGCGGACGACGGCAAACATTTCGTTCTTCAGCGGCGTGCTTCGGTTCGGCCTGCGTCGCGCGTAAACGGCGGCCCAGTCAAGGCAGTGTGTCGGCGAGTCGTTGGTGCGGTTTGGCGAGCGATAGCAAGGGCGGCGAAGGTCGGGCGGGCCCCAAACTTCGGGGTCCGCCGTGTTGGACGAGTTTCCAATTTGCCAGAAGCCTCACACGTCCTTACGTGGAGCTCTGACCTCGAAACGACCCTCCTCTCCCGGTTCTCCGCCACGATGTCTGCTCAACCGTCGCTTTCCCTCCAACCGCCCCTAACGGGCACGTTGCGCCATAGGAAACCGTCCAATTCTCCGCCAACGCCTGCCGTTGGCGCCACCGAGCCGACCAATTCTCCCCTAACGCCTGCCGTTGCCGGAGCTTCTCGTCCGGCTCGGACCCCAACCTCCTCTGACCCCTCACCTTCCGCGCCCCCCCCCACGGACAAGCCGCCAAGCCCCTCCAAGGGTCTCTGGGGAGGGCACTGGTGGTCCCTCTCCGGACCGCGCTGTGGTGGACGACGCTTGGCGCAAAGCCTGGTACGCCCAACATCCACGTTCGGATCGCTGCCGTCCTACGGAAGACGAATTCAAACGCGCGCTTGCCAAATTCCAAGATACCTCTCTGTCACGCGAAGATCGTCGCTTTGCAGCACTGGCGTCTCTTCCCACGCCGGTGGAGCCGACTTCGGTCTTCTCCATGATGATCCTCTGCCGCTCGGGAGCGGCGACGTTCCCCCTACAGGTCATGTTAGACTCCATCGGGTCTGAAATGCAACCGCTTGAATGGCAAGCTGCCAAACGAGCATGCCGCGACTTCAAGAAAGTCAACAATGTGGGCATCAGCTTCATCTGCACTGATCGCACCACGGTTGACAAACTTGGCGGCTTGAAACTCACGGTCTGCGGCAGGGCTTTCCCCATCCTGCCTTACTCTGAATTCTCGTCGCTGTACTGGGTGGTCGTCGTCCTCTCGAACGACGTCACGGCCGAACATGTGTATGACTTCTTTGTCCTGCACATTGCCACCCCGGTTCTCATCAAGTCTACGTATGACAAGTACTCAGTCCAATCGCGACATATCACGGTCTACTTTCCTGGACGTGACCCGCCGAGCTGCCTCATGTTTGGAACGGACGACCCAGTTCGTGAGATATACCCACTCGGCCCTACACCACATGCATGTTACATCAACCATCGTATCAGCCGCTATAACGCTGGCCCACCGCCTTCCATCAAGTCGAAACGTGTGCAAACAAAATCTCACTCGACCCACTAACCTTCCACCACCGACGACAGCCTTGCACCGGTCACGTCGCCTTCCCCGCACCCTGCTCGGGCTACTCGAGCGACGGATCACCAACCTAGCGTCCTCTCCGCATCGACAATGCCGTTCACGGTGATGGTCGCTACGGATCAGGAAATGGAAGGTTCTGACTCCTCAGTGGCAACTGACCTCTCCGACACGGATGATGTCAGCATGTCCGAAGGCGTAGACCTCTCCTCGGTCCACCTTCCCCTGGTAGTCTCGCCTTCCATCGCGGGCGACCGCGAAATCGTTGTCCACCCTGAGTCGCCCGCGTCAGACGCTCCGCTCTGGCACCGCATCCAATTCTCCAACCGACCCATCGGAATTGACACCGCGATCGTCTCCCCCACGATATCCAAGGCAATTATGGCACAAACGACCACGACGAATTCGACGACGGAATATGCCTGATCTACGCTCAACCGGTATGAGATCCTTGCTACTGAGGATATCGACGACCACACCATACCTCCGCCACTGGCAGTCGCTATCAACGGCGACCAAAACGTCCGAGGAAAACTTGACCGCAAGACCACCGTCTCCCGTGCCTCCCTCCGTCGATACGACACCCTGGCGTCGGACTATGATGTCGAGACCATACCTATGGCCGACTTCATCAAATTTCTCGAAAACTACATCATTCAATGCCAGAGCACAACGGACCCTGAAGAATCGATGGCAATGCTTCAAGCCAACCCAGGCCACCTCCTCCCGCTCATCGACGGCAACCACCCCGCCAACTACGACATCTTGACTTCGAAGCTGCCGGAACATCTCTTCCAACGCTGCATCCAGCCGCGCATTTCGTCGTCCGAATTCGATGTCGCCCGCACCACTCGTACAGCCTACGCCTACCCTTCCCAGCCCATATGGCAACTTTTAGTACCAGGATGCACGGAAAACGACATGCGATCGTACCTGCACGAAGTTCTTGACAAGCCACTCCGACCGCTAGCATGGGCCATTGCACGTGTCTGTCAATACCTCCAAATCAACTTCAACCAGGCAAAAATTTTCGGCCTCCTCTTACCTCTCAAAACGCCCTTACCTGCCGCCACCTTGC